CCTTTTTCATCTTCCATCCCCTTTTTACATTCTGAACCAAAGTATGTGTCAAAGAGGCATAGGTAGAAAGCTTGTGGGTCTTCAGAACGACCTTGTTTGACTGCCAAAGCTAACTTTAAACCAGCTTCTTTAGCATCATAAGTACATTCTCTTCAAATTGCAGCTTCCAGCCGGTCGTAATAATTTGCAATCACATCTTGCTGGTGATCAATGAACGAATGCATCAGAGGTTAACCTTATCAGAAAGATCTTGTCCTCGAGAGTCACTCCAGGAGATCTCTGAAAATGGTGGCGAAGGTCACTAAGATGCGTATCAACTGGGTATGAATTACCTGGTCGAGGATTGAATCTCTTGACACTACGAGACATCCTATAGATGTCAGCCATGGTCACAGGTGAATGTGGTTGGGCTGGCTGGAAAGCTGGCACGAACATCGCAGCAGCTGGTGGGTAATGTTGAGCTGCTGGTGGGTAATGTTGCTGAGCAGCAGGAAGGTATTGAGCTGGTTGGGGAGCTGGTACCATCACCGCAGTAGCACTGGCTGGTGCAGCAGGTGGGTAATGTGGGGCTGGAGGCCCCAGTGGGTGTGGTTGAGCTGGCTGGAGAGCTGGTTCAGCCACACCACCAGATGGTGGCAGTGGTGCTGGAGGAGGTGGGTGTGGTTCAGTCGGCTGGCGAGCTGGCACAACCACATCAGCAGCGCAGCAGGTGGAACCGGGACGGTTGAAGGGGTCCCCCTTCTTTCTCCAGTGAGCTCAGAAATCTGTGATTTTTAAATCAGCAATTTCAATATCCCGCTCTCGTATGTCATTCCTGATTGTTAAGACATCAATCTTCAGAGCACTTTTCTCATCCTCCAAAACAGCAACTTGACTTTCAGTTCTGAATTTCTTCTCCAACAACACTGCATTCTCCCTTAGAGCTTCGTTCAGCTCCTTCTTGCTAGACTCATCGTCAGAGGCGGAGCCGCTGGCTCCACCTCTCTGTCTCTGCTCAGAAAGCGTGCGCATCGCACCTTGTGTAACCACGTGACTCTCAACTTCCGTATCCCAGAGGTGAGCCAGAAGAACAGCAAACCGCCCCACGTTCTCCTTGTGTGCCGCTGCTCTGATTTTCTCACCCTCGCCGGTTAAGGCAGCTGCATGCTCCTGCAGCTTTTTTAATAGGTAACCTGGTGTAAGATGCTCGAAGGACTCGTCGTAGCCACAAGCATCGAGGTTTGAAGAGCCTATACACATCAAAACAGAATCAATGATTCTTTTCCCCGCAGTGGAAAAGTCAAACTCTTCCCCAGACACTGTTTGTCAAAGTTTAAGTGTAATGTATCAGAGAACACAAAAAGAGTGTAATGTACAAGAGGTGCCACAAGATGGAGTTAGAGCGCTAGGCAACAGTGCGGGAGGGGTAGTGTGCGTCACTCAGTTATGCCCAATGACGCCGGTCCCAAAATGGTGGACGGGCAGGGCAGAGGTCGCTTCTCACAATAAAAGTCAAAAATGCATGGCCTAAACTGCTAAAAACATGCAGGAGCTTGTTTTGTAGAGCATAGCGAGTTATGACAAAGGCGAACACTGCGTCGAACGGTTGACAGCGCCTTCAGATTTGTGTCCGCGGGCGTTGTCAGGCCTTGCTAATATTTAGCTTACCAAGCTGACAGGCTTGGAGGTTTTGTGAGGCATCTCTCGGCTTAATTCTCTCGGGAATCGGCCCCTCGACAGGTGGAATACCGTGGGTTCTCTCGCTAATTTGTCGGTATAGCATGTAATTTGCAGTATGTATCTCGCTACGCTCTTCCGGATTGGGCTTGAAGACTAGCTTTCTTGCTAACCAAGCTACGAGAAATAAAGCGCTTTTCTGGCTTGTTAACCAGCTTCAGGCATCCCTGGTTAATTCCGATATAAGTACAGAATTAATGTCCGGTATTCTCGTCTGAAAACGTTTACTAATTCGCAATTGATCAGATCGGAATCAGAGGTAGCTTAATGCTAACGGTGGTAGAATAGTTTTCTCTGTCCCACAGCTGCACAACTTCATCAACAGTGACAAAATCACACAAACGTGACAGAATCACTCAAAGGACATGATAAACTCACACACATAAATTTATTTATTCTTTAAATATCAACAAACAGTTAATCTCTTGCAGTTTTAGCTGTAGCTTTCTTATAGGCCCACAGACTTTGAGTGGCAAGGGAGAGTAGCGCCCCTGGTGGCGGGGACGGGAGTCTCCCCGTTTGTGAAATAGGTAGGGACAGCGTCCTCTGGTGGCGAATAACGAGATCGCCCTCGTTTTCCACCCAGACACAGATAGTAGTTTTTGAAGAATTAATGGATCAGAACCAACATGAAGTGGACAATTCTAATAAAGTCTGGCTGGCTTCTGCCAATACTGAAGAACTGGAGAACTGATGACAATGTGATAACTGATTATAAATCATTAATAAATCATCAAGTAGACTCATTTGGTGTATTTAATATCTGAAATAATGCCGTTCAAGAATAATCATTTGTGTGGATTAATTCATTAGTGTAAAGCAGTCAAGACACCCATTGTAGATAAAACATTGTAAATAACCTGTTAAGTGAGGAAATCATTTTATGAGACAGAATATTTTCTTAAAAGAGTAGAGTCTCGTCTTCTGGAGGAGACTTTGTACTTTTCAGCTCCATGTAAACATGGGAGATTGTTTTGACGAAGTCTCCGGATGGTAAGCTAGGAATGTTATAAACGGGAGACTGTTTTGGTATGAAGGAGCGCACAGCGTTCCTGGCAGAAGAAACTGGCTGGACACTTAAATGTTGTATGACCTCTGTCCACTGGTAGGGCAGGTTGTTGCATTACTTGGCCTTCTCCTACACTACACATTCATTACTGTCAAGTAATCAAGACATTATTAAATCACTTTAGATAAACCATTCATTGTATAAAACAGAATATGATTGTAATTAACCTGTAACGTGAGTAATTTATTGTATGAGATAACTTAAGATGCAGAAAGTTCCATCTTCTAGAGGACCTTGTGGCCTCCAGACACACGTAAACAGGGCAGAAAACCAGCCTTGTTATGGCGAACTCCTGTTAGTGTCACAGGGCGACGAGGCGAGGAACGGGGAAGTGACGAGACCCACACGCAGAGGAGGGCAGGGGCGAGCAGATCAGGTGGCGGGGAGGATGAGTGCGAGTGGAGCTAGGGATGGATGGAGAGGAGGAAGGCTGAGCCTAGGTTTGAACTGGAGCAGGTTGGCAAAGCGAATAGTTGGTCGGAGATTTGGGGATACGTGAACACACACGGATCAGGAGCTCTATCGTGGAGAGACGATGACTGAGTTTCGGAGTGGTTAGTGAAAGTAGTATTTAACTGGTCTTGCTGTTGTGTGTGTGTGTGTGTGTGTGGGGGGGGGGGGGGGGGGGGGGTTAAAATAGTATCGGTCAGTTAATATAATATTAATACTAATGAGCGTCTGTCAGCTGTCTCATACTCGTTAATATCCGTGCTTAGAGAGAGGGAGAGAGACGTCTATCATCCAGTTCTGGAGCTCATGCGGGCTTCTGTGAGCTGGATCCGACCCAGACACGAGCGAGACAGTCGAGCTGGTATTTTCAAAAGCTGTGCATCCTCTCCTGGTGCGGCGGTTCTGATCCGGTTCCAACCCGGAAATCAGCTGGCCCGCTGAGCTGCTCGTCTCTTCTGGTGGTTGGTTCTGACCTGGTTCTGATGGTGATCTGAGCTCCAGAAACCCACATTTAATTTTTTAAACCCACCATGGGTCTCTGGAGCCCAGCGCGGACTTCCCTGACCCGGTACCGACTGATGTGGGCTACAGAAGTCCGTCTTTTCAGCTGCAGAAACACCCTCAGGCACGGAGATAGATTGTTTCTCTTGTCTGGAAACCCGTGTACTCGATGTCCAGACAGGCTGGAGTTGGTAGAGCCTTCACACACTCTAGTTTATCAAAATGAACACAACCCAAAACTAGCAAACACACACACTGACTGGATAACATGATGACCTCTCTACCCTAAAACTAGCCACTCTCCACACTGAGCTGAGGCAGCCTAGCTTCTAACTCCCTTTGGTTACGTCAGAGGTTCACATTTAGAAACGAGCGTTTTTAGAAGCTTTGATGAGAAAGGTCACTTTTTACAAGAAAAACTGCTGTTACGTATTTTAAAATGAAATACCCACAATAAGCTTTTTAAACAGTATTTTTGGACAGCATTTTATGTGAATTAGAAAAAATTTTAACCTGCAATTTGCTCTTTAAAGAGCAAGTTACCCCCAAACCAAGTTATTTTTTGCTGATAGACTATATAAACGAGTGTCTAATCGTGCTGTAGACAAGCATACTCCATAATTTGGCACATTAGTGCATTTTAATTCAAATAAAAAATTCTGCCTAAAACTGTCAGTGTTGTGCCGTCATCAGGTCAAAACTCTGCACTACAGTTGAATTTAAATCTGCCACTGCTATTGGCTAAGAAGTACACAATAACGTTAGATGGTACATTATGATGTCACAATTTTGTGTGTGTGTGTGTGTGTGTGTGTGTGTGTGTGTGTGTGTGTGTGTGTGTGTGTGTGTGTGTGTATTTGTTAGCGGCTCCGCCCTCTCGGTCTGCCAGGCAACAGCATTTGATGCATTTTTCAAACATGAAGTGGGAGTGGAGTAAGTTTCTTGTAGGGGGTGACTTGCTCTTTAAGTGTGGATCCTGCCATCTTCATGACATCAAAAAGTTCTGAAAGAATATGCTTAACATCAAAGCTTTGACCCTCTCCCTTACTATTGTGACATCACAGAATAGTCATAAGGGTTACAGGGATTTTGATCCTGAATGTTCTGAAATTGAGTTTTTATGATATTCTGGATTAGAATCCAGAAATATAATTTTAAAGTTTACTTCTTCAAAAGGTTTGAAATCTATCAAAACCACTCGTGTTACATTAAACATCTCAGATCTGCTCTGTAAAGTTTGTGACCTCCATTGTTTCCTCTGCAGGTAGCATGTGTGAGCAACCAAAGATCCATGTCTTCCTGGGGGCTCCAGCTCCCCCTTGTTCCCCAGTGTCTGAGCCTTTAGCAGAGGTGGGGAGAGAGAAACGTCCCCCTGCCGTCTGGAAACACCTGGAGCTGACTTGGAGACAGGGTCGACTCAGACCTGCGACAAGTGAGACAACCATTTAATTTACAGATATTGTTCAATGCTTCAGATGATGATTTAAAGAATACAGTTTACATAGGGAAAAATCTAAATCATGTGTAATGAGTTCTGTTCCCTCAGATGAGCCTGGAGATGGAGTGACACAACTCATAGGAAATGGTGAGGAAGAGGGAGGTCTCAGGTCACAGCTTCAGGAGCACCAGAGAAACTGTAAGGCTGATTGGACCAAAGGAACAGTTGGAGAACCAATGAGAGAACTTGTCTCTAAAGGCTCTGATCTGAGCTCAGAGGCAGAGGATGGTCCTGGGAAAGATCAGTGTTCCACTTGGGTTCATGAGTATCTGGAAGGCTGCTTCCCTGCTATTCAGCCAGAACCTGACCTTGCGGTTCTTGCACTCTCCACACAGACTCATTACCTGAGCACATGGACTCTGAGTCAGGCATTAATCCTGAGAGGCAGACACAATCTCCAGTCACCCAGTCATCCACACACCCAGACCTCTCCATCTGTCTCCTCCAGTACCCCAGAACTCTTCAGTCCTGAAGCTCCATCAACCAGCCATGCCTGTCCCACCCTGCAGGCTGAGGAGGGAGGTGTGGTCCTTCAGGCAACCACAGAAGGTGTCCTATGCTCCCAGGAGTCTACCAACACTCACAAGTCCCCCACCACCAAGAGACCTCGGATCTCTGAGGAGCCGGTGGTCCCTGCAGGCAGCAGAGCCAACAGGCTGCAGAGTCCAGTCACACCTCTGCTCGGGTGTGTAACAGTGGGACGAACTTACTCTGTCTTGGTGGTGGTGGTTTACCCGTGTCATCTGAAGGAGATTAAGGTGAGTCTGGTGGTTTTTGAAATGGTTTAGAATGGTGGATGATGTCATTGCTTATCGTTCCTTTTTGGTTTGGGCTATAACACCACCTGGTTCTGCTAGCAAAGTCAAATTTAATTATTGATCTGGGTTTGGTTAAAGGTGAAGTCAGGACCATCAGCAGGAACATTTGTTCCTCTGGCGTCCATCGTTGTGATGGATCATTCAGGAACTGAGATGAAGGTGGTGCTGTGGCGGCAGGCAGCGTTCTGGGTACTGACTGTGAATGCTGGAGATGTCCTCCTCATCACAGGTAAAGACACTGTTGAGTGGTATGACCAGGACTTGTATACAGTAGGGCCCGACCGATAAGCTTTTTTTGGGACTGATACTGATCTAAAACTTTTAACAAAGGCAGATAGCCGATATAAAGGCCGATAAATCTCCCTCACACAAAAAAGAAATAAAAATGTTCTTAAGCTTAAACCCTTCATTCTCTGCCTTTTCTATGCTAACATATTTCTCTATTACACACCAAAGAACTGTCTCCATAACTCACTCGAGTTTCCACAACAGAACACACAAACTCAGTCACAGCATAAATCTAATCTAATCATAAATCAGGTGTTTTCTTTTAAACTGTGGTTTCCACAAACACATTTTAACTTACAGGAATATTCCACCTCTCAGTAAAACTGTGTCTTGTTAAGATTCCCCAGAGTTAGACAAGTCAGAAAAAGCATTTTATAACCAGCCTAATATGATCTGGCTGCAGCTGGTTTTCTTAGTTTAGCATAAAACAATGTAAGTGAATTCACACACACTGTAGTGTTTTTTATGTAGGTGAATGCAAGCCTTCCCTTCCATTATTTTATGCTAAAACAACTGGTTACAACAGGTTTGTTCTGACTTGGCTAACTCGGGAATCTAACAACACACACGTTTAGGGACAGAAGATCCCTATAAGAATATTAAAAATAATAAAAATGCAGCAATAAATAAAACATAATACTTGTGCTTTGTAACAAAGTAACACTCTGTAGAAGTTAACTTGGTGAACTTATTCACCCTGGACAGGAAATAATTGCACATAAGAAACATAAATAAGAATAAATTAAAAAAAAGGTTCCAAAACAATCATTTGTGTTCAAAGGAGTGGAGCCACACAACATGAGATCATAAAGCTGGCGCCATCTGCTGGATAGGTAGCGCAATATCGGCCAAATCGGCCATCTTTTTGGCCGATAGCCAATACTGTTAATGACCCCAATATCGGCCGGCCGATATATTGGTCGGGCCCTAGTATACAGTTCAGTGTGTGGTATTTACTACCTTGTACTTGTGGGTAGAAATGTTCCTAAACATACAAACAGCACCTGGTGGTAGATCGCACCATTCTGATTGGTGAACAGTGGTGACTACTGAGCTGATTCCACTTCCTGAAGGAGATCCTTCTGGAGCTACGCTGTGATTCAGGACTCTTTGTGGAGCGACAGACAAGCCCCACGGGGACGGGGACCTCTCTTCTGTCCCGATGGTGTTTACAACTTCTTGTCACGTTCTCCCAGGAGCCATTACCCCAGAGCTGTTCTCTTCAACCTCAGCAACCAGTGCCTCGATTTCAATGTCCCTGTGCATTTTTTCCCTTTGCTTTTGGGCCATTGTTTCAGGAGGAACACAGGGATTTCCTACACGAGCTTTACAGAAGGTGTTGTGTCTGTAAATGACTGAACGGATATGAGCACCTGGAAATGCACACATGGGATTCATTATCCGCCGACTGCAGGTGAACATGTGTAGGATGCCACAGCATGCTTCATACATCAAGATTTTGGCCATGTGTAGGAACTACATACTACATTTAGTTTGTAGGATGGAACACAGGACAGTTTGTAGGAACAGGCCCGGGTCTCAGCCCAGTCTCGGCCTTTCAGACAGAACCAGGGTCTAAAGGTCTGCTCCTTCTCAGGTGGGCCTGCATAATATCGGATAAAATTCACGTTGAATGTTTTTCTAACCCCTTATTTGGATTTTAAAAGTAAACAGGAATTTTAACAAGTGACCTGAATAGCAAACCAGGTAGAGCAGGTTGTCCAGCAATCGGAGGGTTGTAGGATCGGTGCTGGCTCCTGGCAGAGAATGCTGCTGCTGGTGGTCAGAGGGTCAGGTGGCACCTGTGCTTGGCAGACTTGCCTCTGTTTCTCAAACCCACAGGGGCCCAATTAATATCTTCTAATGAAATAGTCCACCACAAGCCATACATTCACATTTCAACATAACAAACCACTGAAAACGTTAAAGTTGTCCTTCAAGTGCGGCTCTTTCTCACAACGTTTTCATCATAATCTCATAGTAGCTTCAGACTTGACGGACATATTACCTGATCCTACAGGTAAAATGTCCGGTACCCTTACCTTACGATGAGAAGAGGTTGAGTTAACTTGCCTTTGACATCACATTGGGATGTCAGTGTTCTAAAGTAACATTGTGCAGCTCTATCTTCTGGTGTGATGTGGTGTTTTTTACTGCAGGACTGCAGGTGAGTGAAGACAGGTGGAGAGGAGAAACAGTGCTGCAGTCCACTTTCAGGAGCAAACTCCTCAACTTAGGACATGCCTCCACTTTACTTTCAGGTATGACTGCAGCCTATGGCCGGCCCTCTCTGCTGAGCTGTGTCCAGCTCACCTGCGCTCTCTCTATCCTCAGGTCCCCATGATGTTGATGCTCACTTGCTCAGCTCCTTGTGTAGTTTCGTTCGAAAGCAACGCCCCCTGCTGGTCTCTCTACCATGCCGACCTGTACAGAAACTGGACCGCCTTCCTTACGTGACGCTGAGGATGCTTCGGGTCAACACTCTGGTTCACGCCCTGCTGCAGGTCACACACTCGTACGTCAGCTCAGGTGAGTGTGTTTGGGGCTTGCATCTGTAAGGATGTGTGAGATCAAGGTTTACAGATTTTAGATTAGCAGAAAAGACTTACTGATGAAAACAGTGGAATCAGTGTTCCACAGGGCTCCATCCTTGTCCCTTGATTCCTTTATACACAACTTCCCTGCCACAGTTACAGGTGTGTAGTAAAGTTCTCATCTAATCTCATGAAGTTTTATTGTCTCCGTTTTTATTTAGAGGGCTGCAGTAATACATGTCCCTTCTTGTTCAACCATCTCTAAAGTGTCTTTATTCTCACTCGGTCAAACTCAGTGAGGTTGATATAATCTGTTTGTTTGATACCTTGAAATGTGGCTCCTTCCCTGACATTCTGCTTAAGAATTAAGACATTTGTGTGTGCTTATCTTTCCAGCCGCTGGTGTTTCACATGTCCCGTCTAAAAATGTTTCTCCTAACAATCACTGACCCTTTCCCACTGTGTTTTTGTCAGATTGGAGGAATGAAGCAGAGTCTCGGAGCAGGTCTGCGGTTCAGATAAAGGCAGTAGTGAGTGTGGAGCAGCCCGACGGCCAGCAGGGGGTGCTGATCCTGTGGGGATCTGCTGTGGACTGGCTGGGATGCTTCCACAGAAACAAAAGTACAAAACTTGCACTGGGATGAGTTTTCGGTCGGAATAGACCCTCTGAAATAAGAGGCATTGGAATGTTTCGTTTCTTCCTTCAGATACTGTGTGGGACTTTCATATCCTCTTGGTGAGGGAGGGGTTGACCTCTGACCTCCTTGAACTTCACTCCACTCCCTGGAGTTCTGTCAAAGCATTGGACCTGACTGACCGTCGAGTGCAAGAGTTCCAGCGAGCTCAGAGCAGCTGGACAGGAAGCAGAGGGCCTGTGGAGCTGGACCTTGACACGCTGCTGTCTCAGAAGTACAGCGGTGAGTCTCGTGTCACAACTAGAAGCTTTACAGCTGTGCAGCACCTAATCAGGACCGCAACACCGCACCTAGAGCACATAAACCCCAAACAGATGGTTTAAATTATTTTTGCAGGTGAGGTGGAGCTGAGAGTCCAGATCTGGACTTTTAAGTTCCAGGATGTTCTACCCTCTCAGAACCCCGTTCAGCCAGTCCTGGACAGCTCCACGCCATTGGACGCCATAGTGGCAGTGTTGAGTGGTGACATCACCTACACTGGCTGTGCCCGTTGTTATTCTGAGCTCGACACGGACACCAATGGGATCTACGTTCCATGTTATCCCTGCCTCCCACATACTGCTGTGTGCCGCTTCTACAGGTGCTGCTGGCTTCATCAGTGACATCACAAAGATCCTGCTGCTGCTCACACCACCTTTATATTTCTCAGGCCAGGTGTGCTGATGATCAGTGGGAGGGACTGCAGTAAGATATCTGTCCAGGTTCCTCCAGTTCCCCTGCAGAAGATCCTGAAGGCTCCACCTGACAGACTTCAGAGGAGCTCAGGTGAGCCTGCACAGGTGTGATGACCCATCTCTCACATTTGTATAGTAATTAGATTTTATTCTGGGTCCTCCTTCAGCTCTAGGCCCACTGGTGAAACACATCCAGGTAGCAGCAGAAAGGATCCACCATCTCCTCTCGAATCCCAAGAAAACCTTCTGCATCACCCTACAAAGCCACTTCCTGTGTGATGAGAACAGCATTCCCATCAGTCAGGACTTCACACTGCTTGATTTTCAGTTCCCCAGCTGCGTAAGCTCCTTATAGCATGCCCGGATGGGACTAGGGTCCTGTGGGACCCAACACTAATTTAGCAGGAGTGGGTCTGGGTCTCAAATAATCCTGCTAGAGGAGAGTGAACCTGAGGTCGCCAACAACACGATGGCTGGAGAAGTAAAGATGAATGTGTAACGTCCAGGAATGGTCAGTTTTCACCTACAGATTGACCTACATGCCACCGGTCATCTACAGACCAAATTCCACCCTCTAAGGTGGATTTTACATTCTACCTTCCAACAAGCCACAAGGTTCTGCAAACCTTGACATTTCAGGAGGAACAAGATGTCAGCCTGTGTTCCCAAACAAAGCCTTCTTTTGATAAGACCGCAGGATTGCTCACTCTCATGAAAAAGGAACTTTTACAACTCATAAGTTAAATAATTATTAAATAATATGGTTGAATGAACAAATGTTACATGAATACTAATGAAATGTTTAGATTAATCTGTGCTTAAATTACTGTGGTTGAAATGAATATTATGATGTTGTGATCAGTAATGTTTGGATTTAACAAGTGAATCATTATCTCACTCATATACAATGTTCATGAGATGTAAGTTAAAGTAACGTCACCGCACATAGATTTTTTTCTTACCCACGAATCAGAGCACCCTGTATCTGAAAGAAGGCGTGATGTTCTGAGGTTTGTTGTTAACACCTCCTAACATGGCACGTCCCGATTGGCCAAGTAAATCATACTATGAGAATATTAAAACAGGATCACTAGGGAGTGATTCACCATTCTGTTAGTTGAGCTAACTCTGACTGGCCATCGGAGGGAAACTGCTCACACCGCATCTCTTGTCAAGCTAAAAGCTGCCTACAGCTGACACAGCAAAACGGTTCCGACTCCCTAAGAGTCCTTCTAGACGCAAACGGTTACATCTCTGTTGTGACTCGGGTTACATCTCTGGATTGGAGCATTGGTGCTGCGGTTAAACTAGTGAACCTCGGTGCCCAGAGGTCATCTGACCTCCCTGACCTCCGGATCCGCGAAGAGGGTCTCCAAAAAAAGGGTGAGGTAGACACAGCATGAATTGCGTCTGATGTGGTTTTGATAAGAATCAACCTTCTAGTTACTGCAGACCAAATTCTTTTCACACCCAGAACTCACTTTCTTCTAGATACGAGGGTTCTGATAACATCACATTCACGCGTAATCACACCTCACATTCCATCCACTTAGATCCAGTCATCACATAAAGTGTTCCTAGTTGTCATGTTTTTAATTGTTTAGAAAATAAATTTCTTACCTTTTATTAACCTGACTGAATTGATACGAAGTATGTTTGATCCCTGAAAAGGCAAAGAATCCTAGAATCTTCTGATTAAACATCCAAAGACCAACAGGTTGATATTCTATATTTACATAGAATATCACAGCTTATTGGTCATAAGTACAAGTAATATATTAAGCTTAAAAGCAACAATATTTAACCCTACAAATGGAAACAACAACGGCGTGGCACGGCAGTCAGACTTGGACTGCGTTCTTACTGCAGGCAAAAGCAAACGTGTAAAACCACAGCGTAGAACCTATTCATTCAAATCCAGTCCAGGTCTTGTGAAAGAAAAACATATTTATTAACAATATATTGAATTTCACAATGTTTAAATTTCTGGGTTATTTATAAAATGGGACACATTTATAGCTCCTATGGTGTTAATGCTTTTTGATGAATGATTCACAGTAAAACTCGGTTAATATTATAGTATATCATATATTGGGAAACCTATCAATGTAGTATATGTAATAATACATAAGGAATTTGCTGTCCATGACCCGTATTGACCCGAGTATAGGACAACCCTCCTTTCCAACACTTAATTTTCAGGAACAGACAAAAAAACACTTTTTAAATTAAGTATTTTTATTGAAAATTTGAGAACAAATACTGAACAAAAATACAATTTTAATGCAAACTATAAGAACTTTGCTGACATGTGAAATCAAAAGTCAAATGAGGCTTTTCAGACGCCCTCTGCCTCGCTGTACTCACTCATGCTGCTGCGGTCCCGGTGGACCATCAGATCGCTACACCTGCCGGCTCTTCCCAGAACGTCATCCTCACTGCCATCCAAAGCATCCATGCATGCAGTGTTTGACGCCTCTGCTGAACTGACCACCGTCATCTTACAGTTTTTTTGATTGCTAAAACTCAAAAAGCAAAAATGAGGCACAATTTTCACAACCTCTACTTCTGTTCCCAGTCGCTTGACTCAATTTATCACTACTTAAGATTTCCTTATCATATTAGAACTCTGATTTTCCTCCTTTACACTCTGATGTCAGTTTCACATTACCTTGCTGTCAAAACACAGCACACGATTTTCAGGTTTACACACACTTCTCACATAAATTCTCAAAGCTTCAATCAACAACACACACATATTCAAAATAAAATGTTTTGTCTCAAATTGTGTGTGTGTGTGTGTGTGTGGGGGGGGGGGGGGGGGGGTAACTGTAAAAATAAAATGTTTTGTCTCAAAATTTGTGTGATGTCAAATGATTATCTCAGAGAAAAGTGGACACTGTCATACATTCAGTGTGTAATTCATTGTGTTCCCTTTCGACAATTGTGTTTTCAGTTTTGCCCTTCAGTGTTCTTTCCATGCTTGGTAGTGTTCACCCAAAGGCTACTTGTGTTTAAGCAATGAATGGTATGTGTGTGTCATGTGAAAATGTGGCTGTGTTTACCAAATGAAAACACGTGTTCCATTTTGGGAACATGTTACGATATGTGGTGGCAGGATTTTGTTGCAAAGGGAAGCCACGGTTTAGGAATTTGTGTATATTTGGGGTTTTGTGTGTGCAGTTTTGAAAGAAACGTACAGTTTTGAAAAACGCATTTTAGCAATCGAAAAAAACTGTAAAACTCGCATAACTCTGTTATAGCTTGTTAACTTGCCCCACTTTCAGTCCACTCTTCTCCGGTGCTGGTACTAGATCAGCTCGGGGTCCTGCGTCTGCAAATTACATCACAGTATGATTGGCTGAAGACCTCCGGAAGTTACAATGTCACGTTTGTAAAAGTGACATTAGCATGTTGACAATGATGATTTTGATTGGCCAGAATGAATTCACAGTCTTAGCGGTTGTAGTTGTGTTGTCCAAACATCAACACTTTTCAATGAAAATATGTTTGAATTTCCAAAGAAAAATATGTCAACTGAAACAGTGACCCTCAAAAGCTCTTGATTTTGATGAAATGGGGCAAAATAAAATACCGTAAATCCTCTAATACAGACCCGGGCCTGTATTTCACTCAAGCTCATCAAGCTCCAGGCCTTTATTGGAAGGAGGACCAGAATTAGAGGCAGGCCTCAATTTCTATTTGAGCAAAATGAACTAATGGTTCGCTGGAGTTTTTGACAAGTAAAATTGCGCCCACATTTTCAAAGTTAAACACATTTCTTTTAACAATGGTAGTTTCTGCTTCAGCCCTCTCCCCCCTCCCCCTGCACAGTGGCCGCAAACTCACTGATGCGCCTGCAGCCTCTCGGAGTTCCTGCTGCTCTAAACATTAAAATAATTATTTCATTTTCTGTTCCTCACTTCTGATTACCTTCAATGGTGTCTGTTTGTTGCAACCACCAGGTACAAAAACTAACTTGTTTTTATTTGACTATTTTTCTGTCCTGCCTGTTTATTATCTTCCTGCATCTCCTCTCAATCCTAAAGAAAAACTGCTACCTGGGTTCATATATATTCACCTTATGAGTTACCTTTGAGCTGCAGTTCTAAAAGATCTACCGACCGCAAAAACAGCGGAGTGCTCACCGGCCACATCAGTTAGGTGCACCACCGAGGACAAAACAGGTGATGCGCCCCAATCCACAGCAGCGAAACGCATCAGGCACAATTAAAAGACAGAAAACATAAAAGGAAATGAGCCGACATGAACGATCGCGTGTTAAATTAGTTTTTGAGGTAGCGACACCTGATTTGATAACGTTACTGTGGCCGTGCTCAGGACGCAGATGTCTGGAGCGCGTCAACAATCAGAGCTTTGCATGCACAAGCTGGTTAAGGTTAGGATGGGGGTGAGGGGAATGTTAAATTGCAAGAGGGTAAACGTCACAATTTGGTTAAATGTCCGTTTTACGGCGGGTGTCAGTACCGACGCTCTGGCATAGCGCGTTGCCTCCCGACGCGCAGGAGCTCGTCACCTGCTGACAGCAGGCTGCTGTCTTTTCCGAGGACTGCATCATGCTACTGCTCCCCAGAGTGTTCTGCAGCATAATCAGCACGTTCTCTTTGAACTTGATAGCAAATTTTCGCCTCCTCTTCGTCTCCGCACGGTTAAAGTTACCCTCGCGGTCTATCACTGGCAAATCAAAAGTGAGACGGATGACACATCCGCCCCCCGTACTTGCTTGTTACCACATTCCACCCGGCCACAATAAAAAACCGGCCATTATTCACCTCCGCCGACTCCGACACTGGCCAAAATATGATACCCAGCAGTTAATTAAATACAGGCTAATATTAGAGGATTAACGGTATGAGAACTTTATTGAAAAGACTGCAAGCAACATTTTTGAATGAATGAATTTACATAACAACTAAGAAAATAAACAGACAAATCCCACATTAATACAAACAGACATGGCTTCACATATAAGAACTGTTGTCTGATGTTGGTTTATGTAGTTTCACATTCTTTACAAAACAAAGATATACGGTGATTGACTAACAAATTAGAATTAGAAAGAAAACATTTAGGTGTTAACAAACAAGAATTTATTAACAAAACTGCTGATGTCTTTTTTTAAACAAACTTTATTAGTGAAATTGGGTATCTTACATAGCAACGAGGTGAAGCACAACAATACAAGCAAACAATCAAAGGGGCCAAAGTGATAAAACAGTGTTCAAAAGATAAGAATACAGAGCACAATCAGATATTACAAGGAATAGAGAGGTGGAAAATGTGTTACCAGTTGTACAAGTCGTATTCTTCAAGTAGGTTCCAAGTTTTTCTAGCTAAGTTTTTAATAGAATCAGCATATTTTTTAATTTCACAGATGAAGACAGGTAAAAAAGGATTGACATGGGTATATTTACACTTATGAATATAATATTTAGCTATAATAAAAATTAGGTTCAGTATGTAGATTCTATTACTCTGTCTTCAAAAAATCCAAAAATAACATGTTTCAAACAGAAGGAGACATCAGGAAGAACCTTTAGCTGCAGAAGATCTAAGACATCAGACCAGAATTTTGAAGTATTTGTACAGGTCCAGAATAGGTGAGTAATTGTTTCAGGAAGATTGTTACAGAAAAAACAGCAGGTGTCAATGTCCTTTTCATTGGGAAATAAAATGTTTAACAGGGTAACAGTTTTGTAATATTTTAAAAGAAACCTCTCTAATTTTATTAGTTAAAATATATCTGTGGGGTAAAAGCCAAGTTTTATTCCATTAATTATTATTTACAGTAGAGTTCCACAACGAAATAATATAGGGAGAGGAGATGGAAAGCTGTTGAAAAAGCACTCTTGATAGATTTATTGCATGATTTATTTGGAGAAAAGCAAATTTTTCCAACGTATGTTTGAGCGAGGTCAGTGTAAGTCACCAAACCATCCAAAAAAGAGGATCCTGCTAGCAGCGTTTTGATACCAGACGGTATTGCATTTATCACAATCGTGAACTCCCTAGGAGAAACCACTACAGGATACTTTTCTGTAAATTCAGAGAAAGTGTAAAATAGACAATTAGGTTTTACTAAGTGGTTAACAAGAATAACATTATTATCAAACCACTTTTCAATAAACAGACTTTTTTTTGTGAGTGATAAACTTATTGTTCCAAATATGACAAGTGTGTGGCGAGAAATTGTGCTTAAAAATGAGGGACCATGCCAACATGCTTATGAAAGTTTGAGAGCTTCATGTGGATTTTAGGAATATTATAATTACTAATCAAAAGAAATTTTAGATCACCTAGTTTAGAGAAAATGAAAGAGGGGAGGATGTTCCATATAGAAGAAGGATTAAGTAAAACATTAAAACTAATTTTTTAATATAATGAACTTTCCTTTTCCATACAAAGTCCAATAGCATTCTATCAATATTCTTTAGAGTGTTATTGTCCACCTATAGAGACTGAACAGTATATGAAAGCCTGGAGAGACCTTCAGCTTTAGAGAGAAGGATTCTACCTTTCAATGACAATTCTCTTTGAAGCCAAGAGTTTACTTTTCTTTGAGTTTTCTGGACAGTCGAGGAAAAATTAGTTGGGCATCTTAAGGTGGGGTCTTT